CCCTTCCATGCATGTGGCAAGTTACGGTTTAGGGATGTTTACAGGCACTGTGCCTGGTAGTTAAGTGAGAGGGTTGTTCATACAGTCTTCTTTGGAATATGCTAGGTGAACACCTGTGTAGAATGGCTTAGATGGGGATGATGCCACACTGAGCAAGGGGTTGGGCTAGATGACCTCCTGAGGTACCTTTTAACCCTACTTTTGTGTGATTCTATGATACACTATAACACTCCTTGGGATGCCACTAAGTTATCAACAAATTAGAAGAAAATCAAAGTAGCCAGAAAATATTCAGTGCTAGATGAGTGAACATGTACTGAGGAAGGAATCGGATCTGTTTAGTTTGATGGCCAAGGCAGGAAGAAAAGTCCTGTCATATTTGAGAGGAGCAAACACCCAAAAGGTGGAGGAATAGTTTAAGTGGTCTGTATGGAGCAATTAGGACTCAAGCAATGAAAGGGAATGACAGAGAATTAAGCTGGATCTCAGGAAGCTTTTCCTACTGAAGAGAGGCCTCTTCAGTTGAGGAACAGTCACTCAAACTGTCATTTAAAACCAAACTGAAGGGAGCAATCGAGTGCATTGTTAAGTACATTACTGTCCCAGCCCTTGCTAATGTATAAGATAGTCAAATAGGCTTTCTCTACTGCAATTATAATTTATGTTAAAGAGGCTTTGGGATGGGTAGTGTGTGAACTGGCCAGTAGGAAGAGGTGGCAACTGTTCTGGGAGCAACAAATGGGTACTTCTTAACTCTTAAAAGTAATAAGCCAAGAGAGATCAAGAGGATGCTATACTGAATCTGTAGCCACTTCTGTTATGCATTGCCTGTATTACATGGTGGTTTGAGTCCTTGGTGCATCAGTGGAGCTACATAAGGGTTCACAGAAGCATGAAACCTAACGAGCATCAGTAGGCAAAATTTTCAACAGAACTTTGGCTCCTAGGTTTAATAGGTGCTTTTAAAAAATGTGTCCTATAGCAAAAGTACCCTCTTATGCAGTATGTGGGATATGTCTGTACATCAGGGGAAATCTTAAGCCCCCAGCAAAAACTTCTTATTGATCAAAACAAAAAAATGCAGAGATAAAACCAGGCACAGGTCCTATTTTGCCCCTTGGAACTATGGGAATAGCTTGTTTATGCTAGGCCAGATATGGTAAACCAATGAGAGTGCCCTGAAATTTAATTTTATATATTGAATGTTTTCGGGGTTTCTGTTTAATTTTTTGTTTTGCTGGTTAGTTGGGTTTTTACTACACCAATTAGAGTCCTTTGTTTTTATAACTTGACAGACGAGTTTTGCTTACATTAGATGACCATGTATCCAATAGCCTCTGTAGGGTTAATGATCCGTAGGCAGCTGAGTTTGAAATTTTTAGAGTAGCTTCTGAAATGAGTCACATAAATGTCTAGTTTGTGCACAACATCAACCACTGACTGAAAGCATTTTTTTTCTTTCCATTGTTTTAGTGTCACTGACAGCAGAGTCAGCGTATGTCTTGGTACCCAGATGAGCAGCGTAGCCTTAACAATGGGAAGATTTTACAATGGAAATGATGGGTAGAGGCATGTCAGACCCTTGCTTTTCACAACCAAAGTTCCTTAAAGAGACTTCCAGCCTCATGAGCCTTGAGTGCTTGTTTCCAGTCTTCTGGGGATTCTTGTGGTGGTCTCTGAAATGTGTGTGGTTAGGGTGTTTATTTTTTTTTCCTTGTTGATGAAGTTATCCATGGATAAAAACCTTTCCGCTTTAGAAAGGAGATGCACTCTGGAAGGAGCAACAGTCCTAGGGCTGCTGTGTATTTTCTAGAGTCCGTTTAAATATGTTGGGACTTTTATTTAATTTTTTTAAAATATTTAAAAGGAAAACTGATAACGGACAAACCGAATATTCATGATAGGTGAATAGCCAAGGTCACAAATGCAGGAGGAATGCACGTCACCCAGACTGTGAGGATTCTGGTCTGCGCTGTAGCTAGAAAGTGTGTCATACTGACAAAACCATCAGGAAATCCTCGTTTGCAGCCAGTCTGAAAAGAAGCCGTTCCTCATTTTGTATGTTAATTTCTCAAAACCTCCTCTTGGGAGTTGAATTCTCTTGTTGTTTCATCAGGAAAATGATTAATGTTCTCCTTTTCTTCCCCAGTCCCTTTCCTCAGTAACTTGTGTGCATTTACCTTTCTTTCTGTAGATGCAGATGTTCTAGGCAATACCATAGATGCACCTGCGTGTGTCTCTCTACCTGCAAGTGCAAGAATCTCATGTCATCTTAAAAAAAATACAAAAAATATACAAAAAATTATACAAAAAATATCTTTTTTAGGCCAGAGTTTTCTACAGGTATTAATGAATATTTTTCTTAATCCTTATAAGTTTTATGTGTTTAATATTTCTTAATACCGGTAGCATTAATTTATACTTTTGTAGCAACACAATATTTTTATAAACCGCCACCGCTGGCTTTGTCTTCATAATGGGGAAATGTGCGGGCAGCTGGCCCTGCACTGTACCATGTACTGTATTTAAAAGGTTATCTAATGTCACACTTGCTGTGTTAATAAACAAACAAAACCTGTTTGGAGTCTCATGTATTGTTGGTGTGGATCGAATGACTCAATAGAGAGCAATATTGCACGGGGTTGAGTTGCTGATTTTCATTGATATATATGAATGCTTGAGGCCAACTCAAGTTCTTCTGAGTTTTTCTTTTTAGGATTTTTCCTTTTTTGTTTTTGTTTTTACAGCTCAATAAATTCAGTGCTGTTTGAAACTTAGACTGACGTCAAATGAAAAGGATTATAAAAAAATCGAAGTGTTTAAATGTTGCTGTTTTTACAAGTCTGTTGCTGTCTGAATGGAAATATTCCATGTTAGAAAAGGAATAATTCCACTTAAGTTCCAAACTAGCTAAGAGCTCCAGGCCAGAGTTCAGTTATTTGGAGGAGGTATCTTAGAGACATGTTTCTGCAACATTCTTTTCAGAGTTGATGCCAAGGCAGAAGACAAACTGTAACTGTAAGAAAGCATCCGTTGCTTGAGGATTTTCATGTCAGTGTTGTATTTATGGTTTTACAATAAAACAACCTTTAGGAAAAAAAATGAGCATCTGGGTGTTTCTTTTTTTCCCAGTATGTTTCTGGGATCGTGCTTGATGCCCTTTGCTGGTTTAGATCTAGAAGTGTTCGTTTAAGTATCTTGACACCTGAGAATCACAAGGTAGCAGTAGTCTATCTTTAGTGGAAAGTCTCACCTGTAAAAGTCTTATTTACCAAAAAAATTCTGTTTAAATCCAACAGAAGTTCTAGGTACAAGTAATTCAAGAAATTAACTGGAACAAACACTTTAAAGAGATTTACCTGAATTTATCACCAAGGCTTGCTAAATCCCCATTTCGAGAGGAGTGCCCTCAGAATAGCTGGGCACAGCCTGGAAGTCCAGACCAAAGATAGAAAAAGATGAACTCATTTTCTGTATGGTTTTTAATTAGAAAATAAAGAAGTGTCAAAGAATATGCATGGAGGTAAGAGAATGAAGATGGTAGATGTACTAGCATTGTTCAAACCAAACTGAACAGGAGATGTTAGCCACCAGGTTTAGATTTGCCTACCAAGATGGTAAAGGAGCTCTAAGAGGCTGTGGCAGCTATTGGGTCAATCTGCATGAATCGGACCCTGCATCGACAGTGGTCCCTGATTCTTTGCAGATAGCGCATTGCCTGCAACAACTTCTAGTGTTGCTAATAGCTGTTTTCAAAACTTATATACCTTCAAGAGTAGAGCTGGGCTGGATATCATTTTTCCATCCTGCGAAAGACTGTCAACCACATACATTTTCATGAGCCAATATGGGGAAAAAAATCCAGATCAGATCAAGTGAAACATGTCTTTTGGATGACTTGTAATATCTGTGTTTCGTTTTGCCCTTTCTTGTTTACCATTTCTAGTTTAAACAAACACATTTCAGAACAGAAAATGTCTAGAATAGAAGAAAAATTAAACTTTTTAGTTTGGAAATGTCAGAATAGGCCATTTTAGTGCTCAGCAGCACTTTGTTAGCAACCACAGCAGGACAGCTTTGGAGTCACCAGCAAGTGAGTATGTACCACCCTCTGGGGATAGTTTGTAGTACTTACGGCCATTGCAACAGAAAAGTGGCAAATGTGTCATTGCTTCTGGAAGAATCTCAGAACTCTTCCAGGGCTTTGGCTAGCTCTGGGAAAAGATGTTTGGATCCATGGGGTGTTACATAGGCTCATTTTACGTGTGATATTTATGCCAAGATTAACATGTTAATTGTAACATAAATGATAAGGGTGCTACATGTGCACTTATTTTAAGGCACCATAAAATAGCAAACCAGCCATAAACATATTCTACACTGAATATAGATTATAGTGTAGAACACTTTTATGCCAGGTTTGTATGGGACTGTAAATGGAACGTGGCAGGTCTGGGGCCAGGGCTGACAATCTGCTGACCTGGACCTGCAGGTACCCAGCTTTCAACTTGCTGGTGCAGTGGGAGCCGTGGTGATGATCCTGGGCTCCCCCTGCACTGGCAAATAGAAAGGGCATGATTGACATCTGATCCCCAATCCCAAAATTGCACTTTCTGCCATGCACGTGTGGGATCAGGAATCAGAACCCAAGGCACATTTACATAAGCATGTGGCAAGGACTATAGAGAAACATGGTTAAAACCTGCTGTTTGCACAAACCCTAACTAGGGGAACGTTTTTAGTGAAGTTTATAGAGGTAGGAATGGGTTTTCAGACCATTGCCTCCTTCCTTCCTTTCCAGTCATTCCATAATGCTGTCCATCTTTTAATGAATGGCTGTGGGACAAGAAAAGATTATAGCAAACCACGCAGAAAGTTATTTCCTTCCCTGCAAGGAAGCCAGGTATAAAGTTCAGCTCAGGACCATGATAAAGAAGTTCTGCAGGTTCTTCCCACAAAACTATGGAGAATGACAGGTCACAGACGCTTAGCAGATTTAAAAAGCCTTTAATACAAGAACAGTGGTTATAAAAAGCCTGATTCTAAAGGCAAGGATCAAACAACTCCAAGTTGCATCATATCTCACCACTGTGGTGTTCTTGCCATCAGAAATTAAACCAATGCCCACCATGGATCTGCATTAGCCTGCTCCTGGCTCCACTGTATTGTTGATTCTTCCAAGAAATATTTAAATTTAGTGCCCTCACTCCTGACACTCATCACCATTAACACAAGATCAATAACACCAGGTAGTTGAAGAGGTTCAACTTTGATGCTCACTCTATATTCCTTCTTTATGTAGTACATAGGGCAATTCTGTGTCCAAAGGTCTTTTCGCTTTACTTCTGTCTTCAAGCAGTAAAAAAAATACAATCCCTTATTGCCTACTGCAGTCTGAAATTAACAGACTAGTTTAAGCAGTTCACACTGTAACTAAACTAATATAGTAAGAGACTAGATAAAAAACAGTGAATCAAGAGGTCTCTCCAGGTTGACATTGTTCTAAAGGCCCACACAAAAGCAGAGGTCTCCGTAAAGTACAGAAGTCACACAATATAAAAAGAGACATTTTACAGAATGTTTTGTAGTAGTGCATTCCTTTGGCACCAGCTCTCAGTACAGCGCGCACAGTATCAGCAACAACCCATTAGTTCAGACGGCTCCCAACAGATCCACACTGGGTACATTTGTTTTTCGTAGCCATTAGCACAGACTGACTGAAAGACCTTGACTGAACACCTCAAGATCTCAGGTCAGGCTATCTATGGACTTAAATGGACCAACCAAACGGGTTTCCATAAGGTGTGAACTGGGGCAGAATTCAGCTCTTTTATCTTTACGCCACAGACACACAAAATCAAATGGAAAGTAGAGCAGTTTTCTAGCCAGATGAGCAGAGATCAGTGTTCATCCACTACAAAATATGAGGGCACCAATGTTGGCAGTCTGCTGTTCAGTTGATATTAAACATGATCTTGTTCACTAGTTACTAGTGTTTTTTTTCCCCCAAGAGAGTTGGTTTTATATTATCAAAGGGATAATTTCTTGCCCCCTCTTCACAAATTGCTATTTCATGAAGTATTTCTACATAGTTATCCAGGAGCTAACAACCCACTGGTAAATTAAGGGTTGGTATGTCTATATTACAACTGGGAGCTGATTGTAGTTGCGACACAATAGCAGAGCAGCCCTGGCAGCACAGGATTATGTGGACTGCGCAAGTTTGCCCTAGACTTCAGGTCTGTACTTGGCTGGAGCCTGTGCTCTTGTGACTACACAGATAACAGGACCCGAGCTAACAAGGTTGCAGCTAGACTCAGTAGGTTGACATATGCTGTAATCACTCCTCCACATTGCAGTATAGACACACCTCCTCTAAAAAGCCATTAGGTAACACTTATAAATAATCCTCACCAATTTTTCGCTCCTGCTAATTTCTATGTTTAGTAGCAAGAGCCCAGAGCATCTGCTACCTAAAGTGCCCCCAAAGTTGCCTTGCCCATTGTGATTTTCTAGGTTTGACACAGTGATTTGCTATGGAAAGGCAGATGTCAAGGGATGACTTTGATAAATGATGTGACATGGAAGTACTAAAGTGCAGGTCGGAATCAGGAAAGCAGGTCTGAAGGGGACCTCATGAAGTCAGCCCCCTGCTTAAGGCAGGATCATCCCTAACTGAATCATCCCATTCAAGTTTTGATGTAAATTTCCCTGATTAACAGAAGCAGTGAGATACAGAAGACACCAGGGCAAGTATTGCATCTCACACATGACTGACAAGCCTGCATTTCATCAGCTGTACATAGAAGATGTTGTATATGACTACAAGCAAGTATCAGACTAGAAAGACCCAAGTCATATTTATATTGAAAAGAGACAGTGGGTGTGTCTACACGAGCCACCCACTGCGCAGTTACTGCAGTCATTTAGCACTTGCATAACCCAATACGAAATGACTGTATGCCCTGCACAGTTGCCTAGTGATGCTTACTGTGCAGTAGCTCATTACTACTGCACGGTAGTGTCGCATCATGGTTCATGCCCGGTGATGCTACTGCACAGTAGTAATGAGCTACTGAGCAGCAAGCACCTCGTGTAGATGTGGCCAGTGAGTCTTAACTTGGTTGAGCTCTACTGCCGCTCAGGGACTGGAGAGGAAGGCAGCCCTTTAAATGTCTTCTACCACTTCTGTCCAGGGGATAGCTTTCTTTACCAGTCCAGTCCATCCTTCTGGAACGTGAATCTCTTGCTTTTCTCACTGTAAAACTGAGCATACCAGCGCCTGTACCTCTGAATTGCAGAATCCTCTTTTACCAGTAGAGGTTTAGCAAGATATTGCTTGTTATTCCATATTGTTATATCACGCTCAAACTGTGGGAAAAGAAGCAGGCTTGTCTTAAAAAAGGAATTTAAACTAGATGTCCATGCATACTACTTCACAGACCAGCAAAGCTCATGTCCTGAGAGAAGACACTGGTTCCAAAGAGGTTTTTAGCAAGTCTCCAAGCCTGGGCAGTTTTTGTGTGGCTATTAGCTTACAAAACATCCAAACAATGGCTCTGTGGGCATATCTACTCCGTGGTGGTGGCCACGGTCCCAGGCAGGCCCCATCCACCCAGTCCCATATGCACTCAACCAGGTTAGCACACTGGTGTGGTGGCTCCAGGGTTGTCCCAGCAGCCACTCAAGTACGTTAGAGACTGAGAGCTTGAGAACAGCTGCAGAGAGATGCCCCTGAGTGGCAGTGCCAGTGGACATGTCCCTGCCAGAGCAGGTTCGTATGGCATGCTGAGGAGGAGCTTGGGTGGGAGTAGAAGACCTGCCCTGTGTTCTACCACAGCTGGGGACATCTGCAGGGATTCTGAGAGAGAATTTCATCCCCATTCACTTCATTAAGTCTCCCTTCAGTGAGGGAGGTACTTGCTCACCCAGGCTCTCTGAGGATTCCTACCACCTCAAGGCACTTTCCCTATCATAATATTTAATGGAAAAACAATTTTTGACCCTCTCTCTTACACTCCAGGTGCTGCGGAGTTGAATTCTTGAGTATAATTGAGTGGAATGGAACCAATCTTGTGTATTGACAGCCCATTCACACGCAACATGCCATCTGCTACAGACACCCTATGAAGTTAACAAGTTCAACCTCTGGCAGCCCCAAGCAAGAAGTTTCCAAAGCAAATGATAAACCATCATCATAGAACAGAGAAGGCTCTTTAAAATAGTCAAAGGTCTGCCTGAACTGAGGTGTGCATCAGAGTAGCATGGTGGAAACACAGCAAGAGGGCTGGTGGCTAGCACATCACTAGCAGGTACAATCACAGCTGCACAGGCAAATCTACAAGGATGTTTCCAAATGAAATAAACCCTTTTGTGCACAATTAGTATTTACTGGACCACATTGCTTTGATATATAATCATAAAGGATGGGTGTGTTCAAGAGTGCCACCAGCCATGTTTCTAGCTGCTATGTGGTTTCCCACTCAAAATGGGAAACTACCTGGCACACAAAATGGTTTTATTTTGAGATTGCCCTTACTTGGTGAAACATCCTTGTGTTTTGCCAGAGGACAGGGCAGAATCCAAAACTGTTTATAGGTGTGAAAAGGACACTTGTGCAGGTGGGTACGTCTCATTTTGCCACGGACAAGAAATGCAGCAACAAGCACCTTTTCCTACAAAAGTTCTGCTGCCCAGCAACTTCAAGCATTCAGCCTTCTAGCAATGTTTACAGGGCTGACCCGCACACCTGCAGCCATGGGAGCATGGCGGCAGTGAGCAGGGAGCTCCTGCAGATGCCGCCAGCACTGTCAGCGGTGGGAGGAGTGACTAGCACCAACCAGGGTTTGGTGACCACCTGCAGCCACTGCCGGCAGCCAGGGGTGATCATGGACCTCTCAGAGACACCACTGGCGATGCCAGCAGCAAGGTGGTGAGCAGCAACTGCCCACAGGCACCGCCAACATTGGGCACCTTTTTGCTGGGGATGCACCACCTGAGTGCACCCCCTACGCGTCGTCCCTGCCTGCAGCAGCACCAAAGTAGGTGGGGAAATAGGGTTCCTTGTAACCTACATTCAGGTACTGGTCATACCTGCCATACTCAGTGGTCATACTCAGTTCACCCTCCCTTTCAGCATCTACTCTGCCACTGTGTGACACAGGATATGGGGCAAGATGGATCTACGGTCTGACCCAGTGAAGCTAGGGACAGAAATTACACATAAACTGATGTAAGTGACCAGAAACCGGTTCAAATCTGTAACACGACAGAAGTTTAGTACAAATAAACTGCTTTCAAAATGGCTGAAACCAGTTTAAGGTAAACCTGGATGGATGTAGTATCAGACTTGGCTGATTTAGGTTAAATCGGTTTATTGAACTTCTGCCCAAGATCCCCTCCAGATTCAAGTTAACTTACAGTCCCCCAACATCCCAGGATGCTTTGCATCTCCCATGCAAACTCTCCCTTGCAGGGTGGGTGGGCTAGCCTTGGCCCAAGCTGTCTGCTCCAGCAGAGCAAAGAGGTGTGCTCTAGTACCCCCCCACCCCAGCTTCTTGCCTGGGCCAGCGCAGGCATGTGGCTGCATTTCCGGAATCAAAAGTAAATGTCAGTTCACTAGCTTATTGGTTCAATCTACGCGGCTCAAACTAACCTGCAATGATTGAACCGATTCAGCCTCGGGCTTTTTGACTGTCTGTACTTAGTCTAAATGGCAGTTCTTATGTTCTTATACTGAGACCTGAGTGCCACTGACCATTCACAAAAACAGGTTACAGATAACAAGGCAGTAAAGGCCTCTGCAGTTCTGACAAAACTCTTTTAGAAGCAGCCCGTTCTGGCTCAGTAAAGCACTTACCTGTATGCACTCTGCTTTCAAAATGAATTTTGGGATTATTGCTGGCATGTTTTTCTGATAATAGATTTCATGGATAACTTGCTGAAGGAGAGGCTCAACGGGTGTCACAGTGTGCAGAATGATCCCACGACCCAGGAATTCATGTTCAAAGATCAGAAAGACCAACCCAGGCCCCACCTTCAAACAAAGAAAAGGAACTTCTCAGAGAATTTAGCTCTTTCTAGTTCTAGTTCCCTGCATTTGCAACTATTTGTCCAAAAGAACATCAGCGAGGACTATTCTCGTACATCACAGTACAAAGCTCCCTATAAAGAAAACCTTACAGTGTAGAATAAGTAAGGATCAGGAAAGAGACGTTGCTGCCAATGCCTTGCCGCTGCAATGGCTGGGACTTCGGTAGGGTAAAATATGCCCAGATGATCCCTGAAAGACATAATGACTAGGGGTGTGCAAAGTGGGCCCGATTCGATTCGGATTCAGCCTGAATCAGGGACAGTGATTCTATTTGTTGATTCGGATCACTGTCCATGATTCAATGCTGATTCAGAGAATCAGCAATTTGGACATAGACACAGCCTTAAAAGTTTTTTCTGCATACCTTGAGGTAGCAGGCACTAGGCCCGTGCAAGTAGGCAGCTAGTCAATCCAGCTTCGGATCCGGTTGCTTTGGATGCCAGCAATCCGATCTGGAGCTCTGGGCCAGGTTTCCACTTCGATCCAGCCAAAGCGGCTCTGAAGCTTCAGAGCTGCCTCGGAGATCCGGCCATAGGGTATAATGGGGAATCAATTAAATATCTATAACTTTGTTGGTTTTTGTCTGATTTGGATGAAACTTGCAGGGGTGGTAGCCTCTGCTGAGAGCATGAAGCCTGCCAAGTTTCAAGAAGATCAGTGCTGGGGTTTGGGGGGAACTGCACCCCAAATTCTTGAAAGCAAAACATGTCACGTGTATGTGTTGCAACACAGGGGGATCAAAACTGCAGGGGTGGTGGCCCCTGGTGAGGCTACAAAGCCTGCCAAGTTTCAAGGTGATAGGTGCAGGAGTTTGGGGGGAACTGCACCTCAAGCTGCGGACAGGCAAAACTTGTGACATAGATGACCCTGTGTGTGTTAAGGCGCAGCAGGCTGAAAGCTGCAGGGATGGTCAAGGAGATCAGTGCAGGGCTTCTGGGCTCTGGGGCCCTGCACCTCTAGCTGCTAACAGGCAAAACTCATGTCATGGGTGCAACTGTGTCTGTCTTGGGGTGGGGGGGAACTACTGCAGGCCTGGCTGCTAAGCTACTGTGTTACCAGTTAGCAATCAATCATGATTCACTCAGAGACCAGTTCAATACATAGTAGCTAGCTAATGTAGCCAGTTAATTAGCAACAATTAACACCTACAAAACCACAGACTAAGGAGAGGAAATAATCAATACAGGCAATCAACTGCCCCAAGACAGAGACAGTCAGTTGCACAAGCACCCATGTCATAAGTTCTGCCTGTCAGCAGCTAGGGGTGCAGGGCCCCAGAACCCTCCACAGCTGGCAGGCATCATGGCCACAGCAGGGGCCACCACCCCTGCAGCTTTCACCCTGCTGCGCCTTAACACACAGTGTCACCCATGTCACGAGTTTTGCTTGTCTGCAGCTTGAGGTGCAGTTCTCCCCAAGCCCCTGCACTGATCTTCTTGAAACTTGTCAGGCTTCATGGTCTCACCGGTGGCTACCACCCCTGCAGTTTCCACCCCCCTGTAATGTAATATATACACATGACATGAGTTTTGCTTTTCAAAATTTGGAGTGAAGTTCCCTCTGAACCCCTGGACTGATCTTGAAACTTGGTAGGCTTCATGCTCTCAGCAGAGGCTACCATCCCTGCAGGTTTCATCCAAATCAGACAGAAAACAACAAAGTTACAGATATTTAATTGATTCTCCATTATACCCTATGGCCGGATCTCTGAGGTGGCTCCGAATCTTTTCCGAATCAATTTGGAGCTTCCGAATAGTTTCAGAAAGCCTAAAGCTTCCACCTATTCGATTAGGATTCATAGATTTCATAGATTCGGCTTCAAAATCATCCAAATCACCTCCGAATCCAAATCATGATCCAAAGCTATGCACAACCCTAGCAGGCATGGCTCGTGATCACTGAGATTCTGGGGCTCATGGAGCATCCCACAGGAGTGTGGGGGGGCTCTCCATGTGCTCGGCAGTGAACCTGGAAGTACTTCCAGTCTACTTCTGGGTCTGCTGGGGAGCGTACTGGGGGGGCCCCTCCCCGTGCCTCCCTGGCTCAGCAATCGCCATAGGGGGGACCCTGGGTGCCCCCCCACCCCGACCCAGGAGGCACCAGTCACCAAGCCAAGGGGTCATGGGGGCATGCTCCCTGGCGGACCCGGAAGTGGATTGGAAGTGCTTCTGGTCTACTTCCAGGTCTGCTGCCGAGCACGGTGGGAAGCCCCCTGTACTTCTGTGGGACACCCCATGTGCCCCAGCATCGCAGCATTCACAAGCTGCCCGCTACCTTGAGGTAGGTAGAAAAAACATTTAAAGCTGTCTCTATGTCTGAATCTCCAAATCTTTCTGAATCTCTCTGAATTGATTCAGAGTTCCCATTCAATTTGGAGAGATTAAAGGGTCCTCTGATTCGATTTGGATTCAGAGATTCGGCCACCAAATCTCCGCCAAATCGAATCAGGGACCGAAGCTTCGCACAGCCTTAATAGTGGCTTTTTCCCAGTCTTCTGAAATGTCTCAGTATTCCTAATTGCTTTCATGAAAAGAAACCTTTTGTTACTTTAAAGCTGCTTCTTTTACTTGAAGCCTAGCAAGCAATTTACACCTTCAGACCTTGAAACAAGCATCCATTTCCACATGCCTCCTTATGCTTTAGGAAGGCATGTATGAATAGTCTTTTTTAACAAATACAGAACCAAGGCACAAGGCAGCCAAGTTTCTTAGCTAAGTTTCTAGCATGTTTGGAAGAGCTGAAATTAAATTCCATTGTGCTTTTGAACCACTGCAATTTTCCATTTATCCAGGTACTTGTATGTATTGCTTTGTGAAGTGTGTTACTCACCTGTTTAGCTGTAACATTGACATCCAGTAAGGAGAAGTGTTTTCCAAACACAGTCAAGGCATGTTTAACCAGCATCTGGGCACAGTGATTGTTTGGTTCAGGCTCTGGCTGCCATTCTGCCTAAAGGGTTTGAAAACAAGTGACTGAGAGAACAAATGCAAAAGACAGCATGTGAAGTAGGACTGTCATATAACAAGCGTGTTGCAGAGTAGATCACAGTGCAGTGGAGACAGAAGAAGTTGGTCATATGTTCACAAAGAGACTATGTGCAGATGAATGCAAATGAAAGAGCAGGGCGTACCAGCCTTAGCAAGGAAGCTTGTGTTGACTATAAGGGCATGTGAGGGAATAGGATAAGAAGGCAAATATTCTGGAAAGCCCTGAAGCAGACAGAAAACTTGAACTTCATTCAGAAGCCAAGGCAGATGGTCTCAGCCAACAGGCTTGTTAAACTGATCCTCTTACCTTCCAGGTGTGCTTCACAAAATCCCACAGCTTGGAGCGTATATATCTCAGGTCAGATCCATTCAAAATAGCCGATGCATGGACAGCATTTAGATGAGCTATATCTGCTCCATTCTCAGGGATTTCCTGCAAGTAAGGAACGAGGGCTGTGAGAAGCTTCGGTCCCCGATTCGATTCAGTGGAGATTCAGCTTGATTTGGTGGCTGAATCTCCAAATCTGAATCAAATCAGAGGACCCTTTAATCTCTCTGAATCTAATCGGAACCCTCTGAATCGATTCGGAGAGATTCGGAAAGATTTGGAGATTCGGACATAGAGACAGCTTTAAATGTTTTTTCCGCATACCTAGGTAGCAGGTGACTCGCAAATGCTGCAATGCTGGGGTGCATGGAGTGTCCCACAGGAGTGCAGGGGCCCCCCAGTGCGCTTGACAGCACACCTGGAAGTGGACCAGAAACTTCCGGTCCACTTCCAAGTCCAGCGGGGAGCGCACAGGGGAGCCCCCCCCAGGTCTCCCAGCTTGGGAACTGGTGCCTCCTGGATCTGGGGGGGCACCAGGGATCTCCCCGTGGCTGATCACTGAGCCAGGGATGCATGGGGGGGCCCCCCAGAGGACCTGGAAGTTCACTTCTGGGTTCACTGCTGACCACGTGGAGGGCCCCCCGCACTCCTGTGGGACGCTCCATCCGCCCCAGCATTGCAGCGTTCACAAGCCCCACTGGTACCTTGAGGTATGTAGAAAAAACATTTAAAGCTGTGTTGAATGTCCAAATCACTGGTTCTCCAAATCAGCATTAAATCTTCAGATTCAACCAAATCAAATCAGGGACAGTGATCCAAATCAACGAATCGAATCACTGTCCCCGATTCAGGCCGAATCCAAATCCAAATCGAATAAAGCCTGCTTTGCATACCCCTATAAGGAACCATTTACAGTTACTTGACAAGTGCCTCAAGTTATTTATTCCAAGTTAGTTATGTATTCCAACACAGGCTATATATTAAATATTACTGTGGCTCACACCCAAAGACATCAACAAGATTGGGTTCCATTGTGCCAAACACTGTTCACGCTTTGTTAGTGACAACCTCTACCCCAAAGAGCCCTGACAGATATTACATTTATGGTGTGAGTAACATGCTGTGACATATATTGCAACATGCCACATGTTCAGCCAGTTTATGGCATGATAAAATGGCAAATGAGCCACAAAGATGTTTCATGTATACTGAAACAACTTTGTATCTGGTTTGCATGGTGTCTTAAACTGAATATGTGGCACACAACACAGGCTAGGGCCCAGGGCTACCCCAGGCAATTACAATGATCATCAGCACCAAGCACAAGGCAGCTCCATGGGCTGAGTAACAGCTGTCCCCTGCCTGTTCCCCAAGATGGGCTGGGAATTGCAATTGGGATAAGGAATGTTATGTCCCATCCCAAAAAATCACACATCCTACCAAGATGCATGATTTTTGGGGTAGGACATAAAATTGCACAGATCCCAATTGCATCATTATATTAATGTCTTCCAGGGGCCAAAGACTCACAATCTAGAAACAAGGCCTAGGTAAATGAGACAAATAAGAGAATACAGGATGGAAGTTTCTGAGCATGGCTTAGTTGTGTGTCTAGATCTTAGCTAATCAGCAGCAATAATCATAGTGATTCCCAGAAAGACTACCTGAAGGTGGAATTAAGGTGGCTGACCTACTAGTCACTGAGGTAACCTACAGAGATATTGCAATTATCTTAAACCTAAGCATATTTAGACCATTATTAAGTCTATAGTTATCCAATGACTATCTAATGTAAAATGTATGGTGTTCTAGCCCCAAGGCTGTTATGTCAAAGATGGGTTCTGGCCATGTTTCTGAGAAAAATAGGGACTGTTACCTATTGTGCTGAACTCAAGATTGCTGCAGTATTATCAGGTCTGCACTAAAGTTTAGGTATCTAGGGATTATTACAGTCCAGAGTGTAAGATACTTAATTTTAGGCATCTAGTGAAGTCTGTAACACACAGCAGGGATTTCCAGATCTGTTTTGGTAACTTAACTGGAATTTAGACACCAGTGTACCACCCTGCATCCAGCCCTACATTTTTCCAGCAAAACAGTTATAATCAAGTCAGTTTTAAGTCAAATTAGATTAACAGAGTCACAGAATATCTGTTCTACATTTAAAGAGTACATGCTGTGTGTTTGGGGCACATACACTGTATATTCTCCATGGGGAGAACACATGGTGGGCACATCTACACAAGACGCTTTACTCAAGATGAGAGCAAATTTCTGCATAGTAAGCATCACCATCTACACGTGCAGCCGGGCAGTGTGCGCGTGGAGGGGGACAGGACTGCTCCCTGCCCCTGAGAGCTGCCTGCTGCCAGGATGGGCTCTGCCACTAGAGCCTGGGTAGGGACAATGTCCCCCTGCCCCTCTGCAATTGCAGAGCTGGGGCTGGGAATAATCCTCTCCTAGCCCACACTCCACGATCAAGGAGTTGGGGCTTGGAGATATGAATCTCCCAGCCCCTGCTGCACGAGTTGGGAGCTCCCTGCTGCTGGGGCAGGGGAACATTGTCCCCACCTGGGCTCCAGTGGTGGAGCCCCACGCAGCAGCAGGCAGCTCTTGGGGCAGGGAGCAATCCTCCAGGCCCTGCCAAAATACAGCTGTCCCCTGAACCCTTGCTCCCTGCCAGCCCCTGAGCTAGCACCCAAGGGGAGACTAGAGCTCCCCCTGGCTGCTGCAGGGGGATGATGTAAGGCAGGTGGAGGACGGAGCAGACATCGGTAAATTACTCTGTAAAGCGTGGGTAGCAAAATGCAGCCTGTGGGCCACATGCGGCTCACCAGATCATTCTATTTGGCCCACAGGACCCCTAAAAAATTGAGAAAATTCATATTCATCTGCCCCTGGCTGCCTGTCATGCAGCCCTCAATGGCTCGTCAAAACTCAGTAAGCAACCTTCTGCCTGAAATAATTGCCCGCCCCTGCTATAAACCCACTCCCGGAGCATTTGCACATGTAGACATGCCCAGTGACTATATACTGGCTTAATTCCTGTTTTACACTTTACCAAGCCTCTGCACTTAATGATAGAATCACAAAAGTAGGTTCTTTGAAGGTTACTTGATGTAGTCTCAAACATTTTTGCTTAATGTTCTACTAGGTCCTCCCTGGTTTAACCATGTCAGAATCAAAGCTTAAGAGGCAAAGTTCAAAAGCCCTAAGTTAGAACACCTGTTCTAAGAATTTGCAGAGTCAGTGTCCTCATCTACATTCAAGAGGTATGATGTCAAAGCATCCAAGCCAGCAATGCCAACAGCCATTGACCAGACACAACAGAGGTCTCCTACCTGAATGTGTACATTGACAAAATGCTCTGTTTGGCCATGATACACCCACTCTTTTGAGGTGATCTCCTTCTGCTCTGGGACATCCCACATTGGATCAACACCATCGCAGTGATACCAGACAAAGAGCATTCCATTTATTTCACATGAAGGCCATGTCTTAATCTTTGCAAAGTCTGGCACTATAGAGGAGAGAAAGATGTTAACTCAGATCAGAAGTTTCAGCTCTGACACTTGTATCCTAGCTCTTCCAGTCCTGAGCTACAGTGGTAGGAACCATGCCCTAATAGAGGATATTGATGCTGCACAGCTTTCCTTGTGGGATGGGTTTTTTCTCTCATTCTTTCACTTAAGTCATAGGCGAAACCAGACCAGGGATGGATTTTAAAAAATAGATTTCTCATTTAAAATCAGTTTAATTTAAATGGAATAATTTTATTTACATCCCTTTCTTTTTAATACTTATACTTTTAGTACCATTAAATTATACTTATAATTTAAGGACCATCACTATGGAGTACTGCATAAGTCTTTTAAAGGGATAAACCTAATATTGTTGGTTGAAATTGAATTAGTCACTCAGATATAGCCTGTTTTCATGGTCCCTAATGCAGTGAGTGATTTATATCTAAAGTATGGAATTAATTCTATAGTATCTGCTAACAGATGAGTTACAAAACTCTGCTCTAAAACGTGACAAGGACATTTATTGTCAGGCCCCTGGCAGATATTCAGTTAAAGGCACCCTGAGATCTGATGCACGATCCCAAAGATCATGCTTCCAGCTAGGCTATATGTGCTCAGCAGGAGGAACAATTGTGGGATCAGGGATCAGATCCCCACTGTGCCATGTTGCTGGTGCAGGGGGAGCCCAGGATCATGACCCCTAGGCTCTCACTGCATCAGCAAAGGAAGCCAGTCAGCTGCCTGCCACTCCCAGCCTTGGAGGCTCACCAGAATCCTCGAGTCCAATTCACTGCAGAGGCAAGGAGCCCAAATCAACTGCTGCTCCCAGACTCCAGGGCATAGCAGAGCCCTTGACTCCAGCTGCGCCTTGACTCAGCTGGCAGGAGCTCCCATGTGCTCCCTAGTTTCACAGTAGGTAGGGTCGGAAGGCACCTGAGCAGATCAAGTCCGACCCCCTGCCCTGGGCAGGAAAGAATGCTGGGGTCAAACGACCCCGGCTAGGTGTCTATCTAGCCTCCTTTTGAAGACCCCCAGGGTAGGAGTGGGCACCACTTCCCTTGGAAGTTGGTTCCAGATCCTAGCTACCCTGCCTGTGAGGGCTTCCTGATGTCTCACGGCCACTAGATCCCCTCTCAGCCTTCTCTTGTGGAGCCTGAACAGGTTCAGGTCCCATAGCCTCTCTTCGTAGGGCCTGCCCTGCTGCCCCCTGCCCATGCGAGTGGCCTTCCTCTGGACCCTCTCAATGCTGTCCACATCCGTCCTGAAGAGCAGTGCCCAGAACTGGATGCAGTACTCCAACTGCGGCCTGACCAATGACGCATAGAGGGGGAGGATCACCTCCTTGGACCTGCTCGTGATGCATCTGTGGATGCATGACAAGGTGCAGTTAGCCTTACTGACTGCGTCCTCACGTTGGCAGCCCATGTTCACTTTGGAATCAATAATGACTCCAAGGTTCTTTTCTACCTCTGTGCTGACGAGAAGGGAGTTCCCCAGCCTGTAGGTCTGCTGCTGGTTCTTCCTCCCTAGGTTCAGCACCTTGCACTTGTCAGTATTGAATCCCATCCTATTCTCATCCACCCACCCCGGTAACCTGTCCAGATCTAGTTGTAGCCTGTCCTTTCCTTCTATCATGCCCCCCTCTCCCCACATCTTAGTGTCATCTGTGAATTTGAACAAGGTGCTTTTCACCCCCTCGTCCAAGTCGTTGATGAAGATGTTGAACAGTGCAGGCCCAAGGACTAAGCCCTGGGTGACCCCACTGTCCACATCCCTCCAGGTCGAAAATGACCCGTCCACCACCACTCTCTGGGTGTGGCCCTTTAGCCAATTTGCGACCCATCTGACTGTGTAGGCATCAACACCACAGTCGCTTAATTTTTTAATGAGAATAGGGTAAGAGACAGTGTCAAAGGCCTTCCTAAAGTCCAGAAAGACTCTGTCCACCGCGACACCTGCATCTAAGGATTTTGTGACCTGGTCGTAGAAGGCCACTGGGTTGGTCTGACAGGACCTGCCTCTAATGAACCCATGCTGGTTGCCCCTAAGCATAATCTCCCCTGCTGGCCCCTTGCAGATGTGATCCTGGATAATTCTCTCAAAGAGTGTCCCCAGGACTGAGGTAAGACTAACAAACCTATAGTTTCCTGGGTCCTTCTTCCTCCCTTTTTTGAAAATGGAGACCAGATTGGCCCTTTTCCAGTCCTCTGGCACCTGGCCAGAGCACCACAAATGCTCTTAAAGCCGTGCTAGGGGTCCCACAATGACCCCTGCCAATTCCCTCAGCACCCTGGGGTGGAGATCATCTGGACCTGCTGATTTAAACACGTCCAGCCCGACCAGAAGTTCCCTAACTAGGTCCACTCTGACCCTAGGCCTAGCGGTGCCTCTCCTGAGTCCATCCAGAATCCCGGTGTGGGGGATGTCCCGGTCTGTGCTCAGAAAAATGGAGGCAAAGAATTTGTTAAAGAGGTTAGCTTTGTCGTCTGGTGCAACCACCAGACTGCCATGTGTGTCCTGCTCTTGAGGCTGGGAGCTCCAATCTGCTGATGCCTGGCTACACATGCCATTTAAGGTGCAATGCAAACCAGCCACAAGATTATACATATTTTGTGTAAAAAAAATCATTAAATATTTTGTGTAATAACTCTGTGGCTTATTACTTGTTTTACTGTGCCATTAACTGCATTAACATGTGGCTAGGTAACTCCTTAACACAATTACCTGGTTAATCTCTGCCAGAGGCCTCAGAATAAAGTCATAGATGGCAGGGTGGATTTGGTTGGGAAGCCACAAATTAATCATTGTTTTGTACAAAAAGTACATTCTTTGTTTGCCAAAACCTTAATGCATATTATTCACAACTCAAAGGTAAATGTAGATTTCATTTTTAGAAGGTAAACACTATACATTTTCAAGCAGTGATTTATTTTGATAATTTTTCAGATTAATTTTGCAGTACATAAGCAAACTAAATTATGATTTTGTTATTTTATTTACCAAAGCTAATTGAAGCAGATATTTGTAAAGTCAGTGGGAGGTGAGCTATCTTCAATTCACTAGAATAATCATAGATATTTAGGGGATATTTTTGCCACACTGTATTAGGAGGACATCGAATGAGCGCTGCAGCCATTTGTTGTTAGCTTGGGGCTTTCTTCACTTTCTTCTAGATTTCTTCTCATCTTTGATTTCTTCTCTCTTTTACAGCCTGGCAAACCTGCTGCAATGATAGGCTTTTCCTTCTACCATACCATTCCCTCACTAGATCTCAAATCAGTGGAGAGGCTCTACTCAGAAACTTATTCCTTAAGACTTCTGGAACATTCTGCTTAAAAATGTTTCTGTTTTGTTTCTACTTCCCCTCCCTTCTTGCATTTATCTCCAGACTCCTCTTCCTTGCCCAGATCTACTCCACCCCCAACAATCCTCTATTCATTTAACTTCTTGAAACGTTGCACTTTTAGAGAGAAGTAAGGGCTTGATTCTGTATATACAAACATGCAGAGAGATGATAGGGCTGATTGGTAGGTAATCAGGTCTGTTCTTTTTCATCTCCATATACTGCTGTTAATAAGGGTGTGATCTCTGAAGACACAAATCCACATTTCAAGAAATGAAACTAAGCATCACAGAGATGCTTAATGGGATCTTCTAGACGGATCACTGAGTCCCATTGGGAAGAGTGGTTTTCTTTAATCTTTACTAATCTATAGAGAAGTCTCTGGGAACCCCATAAGATTGGTCCACCAATATAGTCCATGGCCTGTTGTGACCTATATATAAAACTTTTCTTAAAAGGGTACATGAATATCCTGTCTCAAATAGTATATAATTAAAATAATTATAATTAGATTAATCTATTCTATGATATATTTGAGCTTTAACATGTCTTAAATTTAAACTATCTTTATATAGGTTTTTTGCTTTTTTTAAAAAGCATCTTAAAAAAAAATGATTACATACAAAAAAATTATTTTTTTTTTCAATTGTTGATTTTTATCCACCCTAATAGATGGTCATCTAAGGAAAAATCTCTAGAAATCAACCTGGCAATAAGAGAAAAAGGAAAATGTTTAAGTCAAGTCAATAATTCAAAGGGACAGACAGTAGGGCTGTGCGAATCTTCGGTCCCCGATTCGATTCAGTGGAGTTTCAGCCCAGTTCAGTGGCCAAATCTCCAAATCAGAATCAAATCAGAGGACCTTTTAATCTTCCCAAATCAAATCGGAACTCTACAAATCGATTCGGAGAGATTTGAAGATTTGGACGTAGACACAGCTTTAAGTGTTTTTTCTACATACCTCTAAGTAGCAGGTGGCTCACAAAAGCTGCAATTCTGGGGTGCATGCAGTGTCCCACAGAAGTGTGGCCAAATCTCCAAATCAGAATCAAATCAGAGGACCTTTTAATCTTCCCAAATCAAATCGGAACTCTACAAATCGATTCGGAGAGATTTGAAGATTTGGACGTAGACACAGCTTTAAGTGTTTTTTCTACATACCTCTAAGTAGCAGGTGGCTCACAAAAGCTGCAATTCTGGGGTGCATGCAGTGTCCCACAGAAGTACAGGGGGCTCCCCAATGCACTCAGCAGCAGACCCAGAAGTGGACCAGAAGCACTTCTAGAACCCGGAAGTGGACTGGAAGTACTTCAGGTCTACTTCTGGGTTCGCCGCTGAGCACGTGGAAGACTGGTACCTTGAGTTATCTAAAAAAAACACTTAAAAGCTGTGTCTATGTCCGAATCGCTGATTCTCTGAATCAGCATTGAATCTTCAGATTCAGATTTGGCTGAATTCAATCAGGGACAGTGATCTGAATCAACTAATCAAATCACTGTCCCTGATTCGTGCCAAATCCGAACCCAAATCAAATAGGGCCCACTTCACACACCCCTGACAGACAGGGCAATGGTTCCGTTTCCATAGGAAAATGTGTTCTCCATCAGGATACTGTTATTTCCACAAATTCTTACTGCAGAGTTAGGGAGTCACCTTTTTCAGCATATGGGATTGTAATGCACTTTCCATCTTCACCTCGAAACTGCCATCCATGAAATGGGCATTCAATGCAGTTCCCTACAACGTGGCCCCCAACAGCAAGGTTAGCCCCAAGGTGTGGGCAATAGGCATCTACCACATATGCTCGTCCATCCAGAGCACGGAACACAGCAAGCTGTTCCCCTGCACATCAAAATGAAAGTACAAGGTTAAGCTGTCCACCAAAACAACAGTCTTACTTTAAGGGCTTGATCAACACATGATGACATACCCCTTTTGCTACTTTCAGAAAGTGGGACTTGGAGAACATGAACTACGCTGTGAAGCAAAGTGAGTTTTCCATTCAAACAGTTCCCATTCCAGTTTTCTTGGATTCCCTCAGCAAAGGTTACCTTGTTAGGCAGAATTGCTAACAAGTGGTCAATACAGGTGAACTAAGCTTTTATTTCTCTGTCAAACTAGTCCTTCAAGGAGTTGTAAAAAGACTATAGATGAATGTGGACTGATTCTATAATGGCGAGTTGTTTTAAAGTGTTTTTTTTTACTCTTACATATGTTAACAACTTAAGTACCTGGGAAACACAGAAGCATCCTAGGTACTAAATGCAGTGTTATGGAAGCTATTTGAGCGTATTGATCTATAGCAGCTTCCCAGCCTACAGTTACCCAGAAAATTAGAATCACTTTCCTGTCCATGTTACTAGAGGTATCATTTGCAGGATATAATTCTGAGCACTATATTGCAGAGGTTCAGTGATCCTTTCCCTAATTTTAATTTCATTTTAGATAGTTTACAGCAGACCTGCATAATCTCAGGAGTTCTGAAAGCAGTAATACTGACAGCTGACGAGAGCGTAAGGCTGACACCAATTATGAGACGCACAGATGTTCCACACAAGCAAGCCTAAATGGAATGAATTCCTCAGAAATAGTGTTCATCCAGGCCATCACACTTAGCGGCTCCACTTACATTGCTCTTGAGTATGTGCAAGAGCCTGAGATGCTTAAGAAACTCTACAGTCCACAGTGGAGACACAGACGATGTCAAGTGCCAAATGCAGTTGGCTCTGCTGGCTCACAGCCAGTTTGAATCACTTTTTGGAAATTAGGCCACTAAACTCTGCCTGTGCCTGGTTTAGGCACTAAGGGAACCAATTCGAATCAGGCCCAAAGGCCCAGATTGTGTTGGTAAATTAGACATCTAAGTCAAAGATAGTGTCCAAATATCTTTTAAATCTGATCCAATATGACTTCATGCAGAACCTCAGGGGCTATCTGGATATCACTGCATTCGGCTGCAGAGATGCACTGCAGTGGCAGAAGTGAATAACTGATTACAAATGGTTACCCAGAGAGGTTGTGGAATCTCCATCCTTAGGTTTTTAAGACCTGGGTAGACAGAGCTTTGGATTGGACGATATAATTGGGGATGGTCCTGCTTTGAGCAGGGGGTTGAACTAGATGATCTCCTAAGGTCCCTTCCAACCCTAATTTTCTATGATTCTATGAAATGGAGGCCTCCTTTTCTCTTCTATAAGGAAAAGGCACTTCTATATGGAAGCACCAGTGGGATTAGTCTGAATATGCTGTTTGGCCACAAGATGGCACCAAACTGCAGCCAGATGAATCCAGCTAGTATGCAGCTGGTGCATACTTTTAAGGCGCTGACCCACATGCACAGCCCTTTCCCCCCACCCCCACCCCCACTCTAACTCATGGCGCTTTATGTAATGCACCATGAGTTAGAGTGCCCCCCAAACCAACAGGTGTTTGCCTGTTGGGTGGGGAGGGGTGGGGTGGGGGTGGAAAATAAATAAATAAATAAAATCAAGCTCTGCTTTAAAGCCAAATCAAGCCCAAGAAGCCTGCCTGCAGCTTCTCTCCCCTAGACCTGCCCTGCTACCCTCCCAGCTCCAGTGCTGTTTGGAGGAAGGGAGGGGGAGCAAGCTGTGGCCTGGGTTTTCCCCGGCCTGAGTTGAAGAGGGACTTTGGGGGGCCACAAGGTGGGGGGCTCCAATCCACCTGCCCCCTTTGAGCTCAGGCTGGGCAAACCCCAGCCCTCAGCTCGCTCCCCAGCCCCCTCCCTTCCAGCAGACAGCCCTGGGGTGGGGCTGGGCTACATCAGCCCAGCCCCAATTGGGCAAGGGATTGATCCTAGGGAACAGAAGTTCTCTAAGGTGCTCCGAAGTGGAGCACCTTCATCCGATTCCTCATTTGATGAAGGTTAATTTGTTGCACAATCAGCCACCTTTAAAGCACTCTGAAGCCATGCATGTGTGTCGCAGCACAACTGTAGAGCACTTTAAGGGAGCTGATCACATGTCAAATGTAACTTCTGTCTGCACCCCTAGTGTAAATACCTTCTGGTCCGAATGGGTAGAAAGAGATGGAATTTTCTGGAAAGGTTAAAGCAGAGGTGTTTATTGAGTGCTATGGATGAGTCAGTGAAGCACTACAAAGATATTCAGCAATTAATGATGTGGTCTCATTCAACTTCTTCAGTAGTTTTCCTGTTCCCCTAGAGCACCATTTCAGTCTAATGGCCTGGGCACATATTTTAACCCTGGTGTGACTTACACTGGTTTTATACACCGATATAAGCCATATCAGTCTCCAGAGTGGACTGACAATCATCTTCCCTCAGGGAGCTGCTGCACCACTGTGGGTAGGTACAGATATCTGGGAAGGTTAGATTGAGTAAAAAATGGCCACCCAATCTAAGGTAAGTTGGGATGGGGAAGGCAGAGGAGGGGTTGGGAGGATTGAAGGGAGGGGCAAACATACTCTGCGGAGGAGGAAATCAGGGGAACCAGGGAGCAAGCAAGGTCCACATGGGGTTGTCAGAATCAGGGGGGCTCACAGGGTCCATGGGGGAATGGGGGCCCTCCTCCCATCCCCAGGGAATGAGATTTTTTAGCTCCTCAAACCACCACCCCCATCTCACTTTCCCCTTTCCCCACCCCAATGTACTTCCTAGCTCCCAGTGTTGACTTGCATGATGGGGTTTGGTGGGCTCCGGGGCATGGGGTGATGCCTGCAATGGGGGCAGGGGGTGCTGCAGGGGGTTCCATAAGCCAGGAGAGGTTTTCTGTCTAGAGGTGGGACAAGAGGCCAAGGGCTAAAAATAGCCCAGTGCTAGGGGGGCAGGTATAGAAAGTGAAGCCCCTGGGGCCTGCAGCTGGGCTTTCCCAGCCCTGGGTTTGCTCTAGAAACTGTACAGAAGTTCAGTTAGATCAGTCTCGCCAGGACCAATCTAAGTTAGACTACCTTGTAGGTACACTTAACTTAGATCAGGTCAGCCATTTTTAGATCAATCTAACTGTCCTAAACTTCTGTACAGTTCACACTTAGATCCACCTAACTAGAGATCTAAGCATAAGGTCCGCACCTGGGTGAGCCAAGTTAGAGTGGATGTCATTTTCAATGCAATCTAACCTCCCCAAATGTCTGTACATACCCTATGTGGCAGAGAAGCTAGTAATACCTTATTTGCCTTGGGCAAACTTACACAAGGATATTGTTACCCTTAATATTTCCTATGCTAACTCTACACCCTATATAGTAACTTGCACCAGTGTAAAACTAGATGGCATGTGTCTGCTCTTTGTTTAGGCGGTAAGGACAAATTATCCTGGTGTGAAGTATCAGTGACCAGACTCTAAGCCTAATATTAGGGCTGTGTGAAGATTCAGGTGGTGATTCAATTCAGAGGAGATTCGGCCCAATTCAGTGGCCAAATCTCCAAATCTGAATCAAATGGGGGGGACCAATAAAAAGGTCTGAATCGATTCGAAGCTCTCTGAATCTTCGGAAAAGATTTGGAGAGGTTCGGTGATTCAGGCACTGCCCACCCGCTGCAGCAGGGAGCTGGAGCCAGACTCAGAGCTGGTAAGTAGGGAGTGGTGGGGTGGGGCTGGAGGAGGGGGCAACAGAGATTTTTTGGGCCATAATCAGCTGATACGGATCCAATCGCCGATATGCAGCCTGGCAGCATGGAGAGCAGCATCCAGCTGGTAAATCTGTTGTGGGGGAAGGGGTGGGGGGGCAGATTGAGGCTCCCACAGTGAGAGAGGGAGTGGGGCTAGGGCAGGCGCTACCCAGCCAGGGTGTTTTCCATGCCAGTAATACATTTTGTGGGTGGTGGCAGCACTGGGAAGGGGCTGGAGGGGGTGGGGGGGCTGCAGCCACCCCAAGATTTGCTGTAGGCCCCCTCCCAGTGCCACCGCCAACCAACCCAAGTGCAGCCTGGCCCAAACCCCCTACCAGGAAGAGCCCAGCACAGCCTCCAGCCCTGGCCCCAGCAGCAGCCCGCCCTCACCCTGCACACAGATCCGGAGGCCCATACCCCACCATGCCCTCCTGGGGTGCATGTAGTGGTGGGAGCTGCCCCCTGGATGAGCTGCTCGCAGCTCTGTCCCGCACTCTGCCTCAGCTGTGCAGTGCCTGCCCCTGCTCCAGCCCTAATCCCTCCCTCACTGCGTGGGCCTCGATCTATCCCCCCCCCATGTCCCTTCCCTCACAACAGACTTGCCAGCCAGATCCAGCTGCTCTCCGCACTGCCAAGCTACAGTCCTGGCTGCCTGCATGCACGGGGCCACTTATCAGCTACGTTATTGGACACATCAGCCAAAGAAAGCAGATTGCTGATACTGTCAATTTTCCTTATACCGGTGCCAATCTGATATGGACCAATGTATTGATGCACCCCATTTTATTTCTATTTTGTATTTTCTGTGATATTTTAGCACATCACTGAACATCCAGAATAGCTCTTAACATTGTAAAGGATAGTACCTGTTTAGCCTGAAAGACATGCATATTTCAAGAGTTATGAAATATTAGATATTTGCAAGGAGTATAGTACTGTATGAAAGAGAACAGTTCCGCAAACAAATCTCTACTCCTTATGAAACTAATTTCTGTAGAAAAAGTGTTTTTTTCCACTGGTTATGCATTCTCTATATTACATACCCAATACAGAATATTACACTGAAGTACTGCATGCAGAAGTCATCATCAAAATGATAGGTTGTGGTACAGTGGCCATCCACAAGATCAAAATACAGCTACAGCATCTCAAGTACATCAGGTAACCACATTGTTTGAGGAATACGTTGTGAATAATCACAATCAGGTAAACAGTTTCAGATATACTTTGTTAATAATTACTCTACAATTCGAAA